GGCGGGCGGTTCACAGAAGGGAACGTCCAGGTGGCCGTAGATCCACGGTAGATGGCGGACGGTTCACAGAAGGGAACGTCCAGGTGGCCGTAGATACACGGTAGATAGCGGACGGTTCACAGAAGAGAACGTCCAGGTGGCTGTAGATACATGGAAATTCTGTATCCAGGGGTACAGCCTGTTCTGGAGGTACTGGATGGGTGTCACACACCAGGTGCTGTGAGGTCAGTGGGAGGATCAGGTGTGGAGAGAGTGCAGGGAGGTCACGGGGCAGTTGCCGGTGTTGCTGTGGGGAGAACATTGGTCCAGGTGAGGACACGCTGGTCCTTGTACACCTGGGCTACACATGCAAAGGCATTTCTGTATGGTGTGTTCTGATATTTCAACGTTGTACTGGAGGTGAGCGTTGAGAAATGAAACTCAGAACTTGCAGATCTGTGGTGGGGGAATGTGAAGGGTGTGTCTAGCTGTGGGGTCGGGATGCTGGGCAGGACACAAGACGGTGCCATAGCCCCATGTGTGGCTTGAGACTGCTCTGGTGGAGCCCCCGTGAGCCAGGGCACTGTGGAGCCCTTGGGGGTTCTGCACCCAATTGCTCTGCCCAAGGCTCAGCGGCTGCAAGCACCCCACAGTCATACCCCGTGCACATTTTGGGTGGGGCAGCAAGGCTCTGGCTGCTGAGAGAGCTGCCCAGAGAAGGGCCCTGGGGTGGCCTCAGGCCCCTGTGTCCACCACTCGCTGATCTAGGAGCTGTTCTCTAGCAGTAGTTTTGCCAGTGATTCCTGAACCCACGTTCTGGATGACACAGGCACATGAAACACAGTGGAAAGCCTGTTAGGAGCCACCAAATGGCATCACCTGCATTTCCCCTGTGCTGCTGTGTGGGTTTTCCCAACAGCTCAGCTCATGTCTGAGCAGGTCCCCAATGCTGTGCTGTGGTCCCCCGTGCTGTATTCTGGGTCCCCCATGCTCCATTGTGGGTCCTCCATGCTGTGCTCTGGGTCCCCCGTGCTCCGTTCTGGGTTCCCTGTGCTGTATTCTGCGTCCCCCATGCTGTGCTCTGGGTCCCCCGTGCTCCGTTGTGGGTTCCCTGTGCTGTATTCTGTGTCCCCCATGCTGTGCTCTGGGTCCCCTGTGCTCCATTGTGGGTCCCCTGTGCTGTATTCTGGGTCCCCTGTGCTGTGCTCTGGGTTCTCCATGCTCCATTGTGGGTTCCCAGTGCTGTATTCTGGGTCCCCCATGCTGTCCCCCCATGCTTCACTGTGGTAGTTAAGTATAGCTGTTAGGCGTCTTTCCAAATACAGGATCTGCTTTTAATATTTTTACAAAGAGAATTAAATGTCTGACTTTAAAAAAAAAAACATTCCTCCTGGACTCAGCACTCACTCTTTTCTTTCTGCTGGAATAATCTGGGAGAATCGATGAGCTGGATGTGCACTGACTGGAAGCAAGTCAATAGAGCCAATGACTGCAGCCTGCACCAATGGTGGAGGTGAGGGCACCTCCTCCTGCCCCCCAGCGTCAGATGTGTTTGGAGCTGACCTGATGGAGCAGACAGAGAAGGCCCCAGCCCTGGGATCCACTCAGGAGGGACAGCAGACAGACAGTCATAGACGTCCTACCCCCAATTTAATTCTGCAGGAGCCCCATAGGGCAGGGACATCCCTACTACCTGCCCCCTGCCCTCAGGCCTTTGTTCTGACAAGCCTGGGAACACACAGACCCCCCAGGGCACTGTGCACATGGGCTTGTGCATGCCTGGACCAAGGACCCCTGGGGTCGGAGAGGGTTGGTGTGGCTCTCTGGCTCCACACTGGGGGCTGCAGGGCAGCAATGGTCTGTCACCCTTGGGGTGTTAGCCCCTCCCATCCAAGTGGCCCATCCTGACAAGTGTAGAGTCCCCCAACCCCCAGCAGGAGCTGCAAAAACAGGTCGGGGCCCTGTGGCAAGGTGCCCTGTGCCATCACCTGCAGGGAGCTGGTAGCCTGGCTGGGCCCGAGGATGTACGGGACACATGGCCATCAGGTTCAAATGGAGAGGAGTGAGCTGCCAGTGGGTGCATCGGGGATCCCCCAGCAGAGTAAGAATGGGCAGCTGTGGGGGGAGCCCTGCAAGGGACATGGTGATTCTCAAAGTAACCTCAAGTGTTGAACCTGCTCATAGGAGGGGGGGTGTCTGTCAGCAGCAGCAACTGGTCGGGAGATGGCCTGGGAGGACAAGTGTGTAGGAGGGGAAGGAGC